CTCTTGTAAAGCGTTTCCCATGTGGGCACAAGTACCTTAGTTCACTTAACCATAACCATAACCATTACAATCTCCATTTGACAGAAAGGGAAAGTGAGGCACAGAGAGGCTAAACAGTGCACCCAAAGGTACACGCTAGTCAGTGGCAGGCGGCCCAGGCAGCCTGGTCCCAGGGCCCACGCCCTGCCATTGCAGTCCGCCGGCTCTCTGGATATGAGCACAGGGAAGGTGCAGCCCGAGGACGAAGCCCACTGTGGAAGCCCACAGAAATGTCTCCTCAGGCAAAGGATGGGGAACACTGAAGAGTAACACAGACAAGAGGCCACTAAGGCACGGGGTACCCCCCGCCCAGCATCTGAGGCCCGAAGCTGCAGGGCTGGACTCACCAGGTGCCACTGCTGCGGGTATTTGGGGTCATTGAAGTGGACGCTGCGCTTGGTCCGCTTGAGCAGCCTCTGCTCTGAGTGCCAGCGCACGGCTTCGTGCCTGGCCAACACAGCCTCCACCTGCTGCCGGACGGCCTCCACCTGCGGGGCCTGCTGGTGCCCTGCTGGCTGGACCAAGAGGTAGTGCCCCTGGAGCTCCCCGATGCGTCCTGCATTCACCAGCCCTGCTGCCTGGGCCAGGGCATCTGCCCGCTGCTCCAGCGACTGTTCTTCCCTTTCGCCTTCTGGGCTGTCCACATGCACCGCCCAGCTCAGCCCCTCCGGACCCCGGGCCCCAGGCCCACCTGCCCCCACCAGGCCCATCACCCAGGGAAGCAGTAGGAAGAGCCCGGCTAGCTCCAGGCAGAGGCAAATGGGCCTGGGGCCCAGGGGGGCATCTGAGTGTGGCACTTTCTGCCTCCCCTTGGGCATCAGAGCAGTAGGCTGCAGACAAAGAGAAAGGACACCAGAGGTAAGAACGTGATAACACGGCACACCTGGAAATCCCTAAGCCATGCCTTTTAAATCATTAAACATGTGATCCTCTCCTGTTATTCACAGTTATCTCTGACCAACAGGGATAAGCCCCCAGGGGCAGCGTGGGCCAGCACAAACCCCGGGGGGTCCCTCAGTGACATGATTATCACTAGACGATCAAGCAGGATGTCTAGTTGCTAACAGGCACCGTGCTGCTCTTTCCCACTGTTGCCATGAAAAGGGCTCAGAGGTCATAGGACTCCTGCAAATTCCTGGCAGAGTCATGACCGTTCTTTAGAAGAGACCCTCCTCCCTTCTTTAGAGGCAACAGAAATCTTTCCCCAGCTGACGTCTTGGTCCCCTTGTCTTGAGGGCTAACTCCCCGCAGTGGGGCCCCGTTCCCACCTGGACCCTGAGTGAGGCTGAGCTCCTGGTCTGGCTAACCACCTCACGCTCATTTTGTGCAAACGGAGAAAAGGCATCCCTTTCGCTGTGAGCAGTGGTGACTCCAGGCACAGATTGCAGACCTGTAGGCCCCAAGAAAACAAGAAATGGTGTCCTCCCAAACCCAGTGGAGCAAGCAGAGGCTGGCCATGAACTCTAGGATCCGTGATCAAAGAAACTGCAAGTGATTAAGTATCATTTCCAGGAATCCCAAATAGGTCACAGACTAGAACCGAACTGGTCCAGTAAGGCCAGATCAGTATATAATCCAGAAACCGTACTTCTCGACCTAAACGTCAGGCCATAGTCTTTTCTTTTTTTCCTAGATGCCTAGAAGAGGGCTTGAACTCTTAGCAAAAACCCCTCTTGAAAAAGTAGGTGGTACTGCTTCCTAGAAGTCCGGGGGGTAGTAGCTAACTTCCTGATTTCTGTACCTGTGGATGCCAGGGGAAGTAAGAGTAGGCGGGAGGCGGGTGAAATGGGGAAAACCCGAGCATGCAAACAAAACTGAACAGGCGTAAGAGGCAAGTGGACACCCTGGGGAGAAGGGGTGATTGGAAAGCAGCACTAAAGGGCTACTCTTAGTCACTAGCTCAGCAAGTTGGTTGAGAAGTGAGGGCTCAAGCTCTAAACCTGGGACTGCCACCCATGGTTTGACAGAAGGGCCAAATGAGAACTGGTGGGCAACTGTGGGGACAGAGACAGGTGAATGGGTGACAGAACATGTGTGTCCCTATTGGTGGCTGGGCTTCAGAAGCATCTGCTCTCTACGGGGATGGGGTGTAGGGGGGTCACCTTGAGGTAGGGCTTAGTACCCACACAAATATGCAAATGGATTAGTCTCAAAACATTACATAAACATGGGTATTTTACCGAAGTCTCTTTGGAAAGGGAGAAGGGGACTTCCGCCACCTAACATTTCCCTCCCCAAATCTACATATTTCCTTCTCTCTTTTCCTCTGAGGTTCCCGGGCAAATTCCTCCCTGCGCTCCAGCAGTGTCGACTGTCCCAAGATATTCAGGTGTCCTTCCCAGTGTGCATACAAAAATCTTGTTAGATAGCCTGATAGTGACCCAACTAGGCAGGCTCCTTCAATCGCAGTAGAGCCCATAGATTTCCGGAAGAGAGGAGAAACCTGACCACTACATCCTCCAGTCCCTCTGGCAGAGCGGTACGTTAACCCCACCCCAGCCCTCACCCTAGGCTTCTGGGTAAGGAAACTTAAATACCCTCTGAAAGTAGATCTCAAACTTCACCCAACTGCTAGGCGTGTCTTTACAGCTCTGAGGTGCCAAGAGAGAAGAGGAATGATACGGACAGCCCAGAGTCCAAGATTCTGCTCCCAAGAGACTGTCCTCCTCGCAACCTCTACACCTGTTCCTAGAAACCAGGCTGCGTACCGGGGTCAGTTTCATTGATTTCCCCCTCCCTGGCCTCGACTGCCCCGTGCAATGTGCCCCTCTCCTCGGAGGACCCACACTATCCTGGATCCAAGACTCCGTGGCCCCGTCTCCCTGGGCTCCCCCACGCCGGGACTGAAGGCGCCCTCTGTGCGGCTCCCTCGTCCTCAGACACCGGCTGCCCCCCTGTTCTAGGCCACCCGGACTTCCAATGCCCCGCCCCCACCGAGTTCTCAACTCACCCGCCTGGCCGCAGCTGCTGCCGCCGCCTCCTTGCGGAAACTCACGGCTTCCCGGGAGCCCGAGAAGCCAGTGACAGTAGCATCACTTCCGCCCAGCGGCGCAGCCAATCAGCGACGGGTCCCCCGGCCGGCCCGACCAGCCGGGAGCAACTGGCTCTAGGGGGCCGGCTCCTTCGGGCATCCTCCACTGAGAGAGCAGCGTGTGTGGGTGCTCCTCGCGGGGGCCCACCGCCCCGAGTTCTCGGGGCATCTTCAAGAGGGACCTTCTCTATAGGGACGGTCCTCTCCTTCATGGTGTCCTCTGGAAAGGGCATCTCGGTTGCGACCTTTAAAAACACCTCGTTCCTGTTCTTCCTCTGATCGTCATGACCCCGACTCTCCCTGTAATCTTCCTAGAGGGGGTCCTCCCTCCACCAAGTCTCCTTCCTTCTCGCGGTCGCATCTCCCTTAGTCCCTTCGCCCCGGGAGAAGTCCACTAGTATCTTAGGGGCTTCCTCAGCGTCCGCGACCCCTTGACGGTGCCGGCTCCGGCCGCCAGAGGGCGCCATCGGGGGCGGCGCAGTGCCACCGCGGCCTCTCCTCTGCCGGCCGAGCCTCGCCCCCGCCGCTCGTGCCGCCGGAAGTGGGAGGTGTCGCGCGCGGGCCGGCGCTCGACCCCTCCCCCCAGGCTCGGCCGCCCCCTCCCCCCGCTCCGCCCGCTCAGGTGAGTCCCGTCCCTCCCCCCCTTCCCTCCCGGGGGCGCGGCGCGGGAGGTGTGTGCGGGTCGGGCGCGCGGGCGGGGGCTGCGGCTCGAGGGGCTGGGGTCGGGGCGGGGGGCGTGGAGGGAGCTGCGGGGATGGGGGGCGGGGGTCCCGGCCTAGAAGTGGGACGGGGGTGGCAGCCGGGCGGGGGGCGAGGGCAAGGTGCGGAGGGGCTCTGGCCGGAGGAAGCTGCAGGCTGGGCCAGCCCCCTGTGGTTGGCGGCCGGGACCACCGGCGTCTCTTCCCCCCATTGTCCCCTTCGCGACCGTCCCCCGATCTCCCCCCGAGGACCCGTCGCTCCCAGCGTCGCCGTCTGGTCGCCGCCGGGTTGCGGTGCGGGGCTTCCCTTGGCTCCTTCGACTTAAAGCCCCCTGCCGCATCCTCCTGCCAGATGTCCCTGTCCCTCTCCCCTTTGGGCTCTCAGCCACGGAGTCGCACGTAGGACCCGTGCCCTGTGGTTTCGTTTCCCGGGCGCCAAGGACCCCCGGCCCGGGCCCTGATGGGGCAGGATGTTTGCACCTGTGCGAGCAGTAATGGCGATCTGGGGCCTGTTTTCTCCCGGGAGCCTCGTATAATTTGATGAGGGAAACTGAGGCACAGGGGGTCTCTGGCCTGGGACTGAAGTGTGGACACAGCCCAGCCTCCGTGCCTGCCCTATGCGCTCTTGGAGGGTCAGGGATGTACCTGGGATGCTATTAAAATAAAAACAAGAATTTAAACTAACCCTGTGTTACACCACCAACCACCCACCCCCCCCCCCGCCCCAATATTCATTTTTTTTCTTCCTCTTCATCATAGAAGGCGTGAGTTTGTCCTGCAACATCTCTTACTTGGATTACCGTGTTTTTCAGCTTCTCATTTTCATGCTGGAGTAACCAAGATTCTCATACTCTGGCACCTTTAGTAACTCTAAAGAGTCTGTACTTTCCTCAGTCAGTGGTTGTCAGACTTTTCCCATCTGTGGGGAACCCAGAGTAAAAGTGAAAGATACTTGGATTGCCCAATAAAATATTGCTTTTTCTCTCTCACACGAACATCTCCAAATTAATGGAGAATGCTTTTAATGTAACAGCCATAAAATGATTTTAAAACATAAGCTATTATTGATGTTAGGCCCCAAATGACATCCTTTGTAAATGATACTAGGCAAGGTAGGTAAGGTAGGCATGTGGATCAGTTGGAAGATTCTCATGGTCTGTGAGACTGCATTTCTCCTAAAGTGAAAAAGCTTTGCACACATATACATGTATATATGTATATGTATATATGTATATATATATATATACACACACATATATATACATACACGTACATATACACATATAGTGACGTGTGAGGATCGATATCCCTATTGCATGTGATGGCTCTTTTAATATCCTACTAGAGAATACCCTTAAGTGTTTTCTCCTGGAGCCCAACTTTTTCTTTGTGTTTCTTTCCTGATATGACTCTGTTGTATGGACATTCTGAGAGGGTGAGATATATTTGTTTTGAAATTTTGGAACTTGTAGCCTGTACTTTGTTTCTGAACGTGCAGAGCATGATGGCAGCATCTGAGGTCGCTGGCGTGGTGGCCACTGCTCCCAGTCCTCCGGAATCCTCGTCTAGTGTATGTGCTTCCAAACCAGACGAAGTTCTCCCAGACGGTCTAAGGTAACGTGTGGACTCTCAACTGGGAAGATTTCTTTTGGGTAAAGGGCTTTGGAGATGGGCTTCTTATGGAAGTGTAGTTCGTCTTTCCCCTTTTTAGCTCTAGTGACATTGCATTAGATGAAGCTTTTTAAAGGTAGGGACTGTCTGATCTATATTTGTATATCTGGTACCCAACACAGTATCTGACACTCAGCAGGCATGCTAATTATTTGTTGAATAAACAGATTAAAATACAGGGGATCAAACTCATTTGAAAATGCAAATATTTCCCACCTTCTCCTACATGGACTATGTTTATTGAACTATATGTTTATATGTTACATCTGTGTGTGTGTGTGTGTGTATATACACACGCGTTATATCTAATGTATATAGACACATGTATATGTATCTCTGTCTATCTATAGGTAAATAGATAGCTTTATTAATATGGCTTACTGCTTCATGTATGTATTTCGCCTTCCAGCTAAACTCTTGAGCACAGGAATTATGAATACCCAACCTTGTTTTACAGTGCTTAAAACATTGTTATGTATAATGTTGTACTAGGTTGACTATGTATACTACCTCAACTCTTTTTTTAATTTAATTTTTATTTATTTATTTATGGCTGTGTTGGGTTTTGTTGCTGCGTGGGCTTTCTCTAGTTGCGGCAAGCGGGGGCTACTCTTCGTGGCGGTGCGTGGGCTTCTCATTGCGGTGGCTTCTCTTGTTGTGGAGCATGGGCTCTAGGCATGCAGGCTTCAGTAGTTGTGGCATGCGGGCTCAGTAGTTGTGGCTCGCTGGCTCTAGAGTGCAGGCTCAGTAGTTGTGGTGCACGGACTTAGTTGGTCCGTGGCATGTGGGATCTTCCTGGACCAGGGCTCGAACCTGTGTCCCCTGCGCTGGCAGGTGGATTCTTAAGCACTGTGCCACCAGGGAAGTCCCCTACGTCAACTCTTTTGTAGAGTACCTAGGACCTAATACAATAGATAACACTGTGCTAGCAGCTTTATATGTGTTAACACATTTAATTCTCTCAACAATCTCAGCAGGTAGGTGCTAATGCTGTTATTCCCATTTATAGGTGAGAGAACTTGAGACACAGAGAGGTTAGTAACTTGCCTAAGGTTACCAAGCTATGTTGGAGTCAGTGTTTGAACCCAGGCTCGTCTGACTCCAGCGTACTTAATAAATGTAACAAATCTGTTACATTTGTATTTATTATTTGTCACTTGTTATTAAGTGGGTAATGGGGAAAAATGTTAAGTAAACCTAACCATAAACTTGGATCTTCATTTTATAAATAAAATCAGACACATACTACTAGTAATAATAATAACAGCTAAGGTTTATTGAGTGTTTACTGTGTGCCAGAACTAAATACACCAGATGCTTTATCTCATGTAATCCTCACAATAATCTTATTAGGTAGGTAATATTATTTCTGTTTTACAAATGAAGTTAAGTAACTTGCCCAGAGTTAAACAGCTAGTAAGTAGCAGAGTCAGGATTCACACCCAGGTACTGTATCTGCCCAAATTTATAATTAAGTGTCCCCCCCACCCCGCCACTTAACCCCCAGCAAGGAATCAGCTTAGAGTATTTATAAAGATTTTTCATGTCACAAGGTGCTGTCTCTGTTGTTTTATTTTGAACAGTAGGTACTATTGAGGAAAGGAAGGCACAGTGACCTGAAGCCTAAGTCACTACTAGTTTGGAGTCCTTAAGGGCATAGTTGACAGAAGCAGCTGTTTTGTTTTGTTTTTTAATAGCAAAGGAATTTAACACACATTATTCCTGGTAAAAGACTTACAGTCGTGAATGTTGGATGTCATTGTAAATAGGTTTTGAAGATCTCTTAAAAGCAGTATGGTAAATGGTTGTAGCAAACAATGAAACAACGATTTCAGTGTATACATGTGTGTATATTTGTTATCTGGGGTAAAAGTTCTGCTGACAGCTTCAATTTTGGATTCAAAATCGTCTGTACTTCAGTCAACTTGAAGTGAAGATGCTGTGCTCTGGAAAGCTGTTGGTGGTTCTGGTCAAAGATCTGTAAAATGAATTTGAATGAAAATTATTTTTGTGAAACGAGAGTGGAATTTAAAACAATATTTCTCAATCAATATTTTATTTATTAAAATATGTGGAACAAAATTAGTGTTTGAACCCATGTACCTAAATGAAATATTCTAAGTAACAGCAGGCTATTTCACCTGCATCCCCCCAAACCTTTGGCTCCTCAGCGTCATTTCTGTGTGACAGTTCACTGCGGACTGTCTCCTGAACCCAGCTTCTTCACCACCACACCATACTCCCTGCATGTGGGACAGAAATCACTGGGTGGAAACTAAGTTCCTTTTCAGTTGGCTAATTTGGAGGGGTTTATATAGTCTCGTTTTGTTCTTCTAGTGGTTATGTTAAAAGTATTATATATTTAAGCCTCTTTAAGATTGGGTGAAGAGAGAAACCTTTTATCTTATGTTTTTGATAGCCCCAAAGACCCTGCACAGAAGCACAAGAACTCGCCTCTGTCGAGTGTAAGTAACCAAACGATAACCAAGGAGAATAACAGAAATGCCCATTTGGAACACCCAGAGCAGAATCCTGGTTCATCAGCAGGTGACACTTCAGCAGCGCACCGGGCGGTTTTAGGAGAAAACTTGATAGCCACGGCCCTTTGTCTCTCTGGCGGTGGGTCTCAGTCTGATTTGAAGGACGTGGCCAGCACAGCGGGAGAGGAGGGGGACACACGCCTCCGGGAGAGCCTCCACCCCGCCACTCGGTCTCTTAAGGCAGGGTGCGATACAAAGCAGCTTGCCTCCGGGAATTGTCCTGAAGAGAAGGCCCCACAAGCCTCCATCCTAAAGGAAGGGAGCAGGGACACAGGCTTGGATTTCCCACCTGTGGTGCCTCCAGCAAATGGGGTTGAAGGAGTCAGAGTGGATCAGGATGATGATCAGGATAGCTCTTCCCTGAAGCTTTCTCAGAACATTGCCGTCCAGGTCAAGTATCAAGTTTCTACTACTAAAACGGAATTTGGGCTTTTAATTTTTTTTTTTTTTTGAGGGCAGGAGATATTTCTTCATAGTTGGTAGAGAACTACTCTGTCTCGTTTTTTTACTGGCAACTCTCATACTGTTTTCATACGGTGCTCTGTGATGACTTCATTCTGGTGTTCAATAAGTAACAGCCCGTGTCTAATCGTGGCGACCAGGAGCTTCATGACCTACATACAATCACTTTCACTGAGTAATTGATGAGCGTAGGTCATTAGCATTCATATTTCCTGTCTTCGACCTTGCAGGAGGAATCCTTGTTAATTCTCTGACCTATATCTTAAGAAGTACGGGGTATCCTGCCTTCTAGTGACTGGTGTGCTTTTTTGTAGCAGGAAGGATGAGCACAGTAAATTGTAGGGGCCAAAATTCTTATCTGAGTCTCGAGCTTGTCTCTCCATCAGTTGTTGGGTCTTGTTCAGCTTATTTTGTGGGGTAAATGCTTCATGCTACATGGATGTCAGTGGACATTTGCCAGAACTACAGTTCTCTTGCTATGAAGCTGATAAGGGGAGAGAGTAAAAAGTTAACTTCTCAGTTCCTTGTGGCAGATTTCTCAGTGAAAGGACGAGAGCAGTTCTGCCTTTTAGAATGTCTCTGAACAGTTCTGAATATAATTGTTTCTTTCTTTATAGACTGACTTTAAGACGGCTGATTCAGAGGTAAACACAGATCAAGATATTGAAAAGAATCTGGTAAGTAGTTAAACTGCAACTGTTCATGTATGAAACCATTAATGCAGAAGATCTAGAGTCACATCATCTCAGTTGGAAAAGGTGCAGGAACCTCCTTTATAAAATCCCTGACAGATGGTCAGCTAACTTCTACTTGATCACCTCCAGAGATGGGAAGCTTACTACTCATGAATCAGCATATTGCATTTTGAAAATAGCTCTTATTGTTAGATCTTATTATGAGGTGAGAACAGAACCACTAAAACTTCTTGTTATAGTTCTCTCTTGAGCTACGTAGAGTAAATCTAAATCCCTTTACTTGTTAGCCCAAAATATATTCAAAATGTTTTTTTAAATGCTTTTTCCTCTTATCCTTTAAGTCTGAACCTTTCCAGGTGAAACATCCCCAGATTTTTTTTTTTTTTTTTTTTTTTATTACGCGGCCCCCTCACTTTTTTTTCCTCTCCCTTTGGGGGGCACAGGCTCCAGATGCGCAGGCTCAGTGGCCATGGCTCAGTGGCCATGGCTCACGGGCCCAGCCGCTCCGCGGCATGTGGGATCTTCCCAGACCGGGGCACGAACCCATGTCCCTTGCATCGGCAGGCGGACTCTCAACCACTGCGCCACCAGGGAAGCCCCCCAGATGTTTTTTTAACATTCTTCTTTTCTTCATATGATATATTTTTGAGTCTTTTCTTCAACCTGGTTACTTTTTCACCTAGACATGTTACACCTTCTCAATGTTTCTTTTGCAATGTGATCCTGAGAGCTAAATGTAGTAATGCACATACAGTGTAGTTACTTCACTATACAATGGAACTGTTGTGTCATTCTGTGGTGACATTCTACACACTATTTCCTAAGCTGACATCGTCACACTGTGGAGTTTTCACTTTTACTCCATCAGGTCTTTTTCTCATGTATTGTTTAATTGTATCTTCCAATTTTATGCCTAGGTAATTATTATTTTTTTTTTGAGCATCACTTTTTAAATCTGTTTTTTACTTAAAAATAGGTAATTGGTTTTTAAAACTTAGAGAACTTCACATTTATTTTTGTTAAAGTGGTCCCCTTGATCTTTCCCTGGCATTTTGTGGCAAAACTTCCACCCTGTAAGTGTGTGGATATCTGAATGTCCATTTTTCAAGAGGAAGGATAATGCTAGAAAAGGCACCCTAAGTTCAGGAAGGGGTCTTTAGGGTAAGATATGTTAATTGAATGGAAATAAAGAGGAAAACCAGGTAAGAAAGTGGATATTTGGTGCAAGTTGAAGAAATTGAGGGGCAGATGGAAAGAAGTAAGTTATTGGAGTACATTAACCACATGAAAACTTTTAAATAGAGAGTAGCAACTCAGGAGTTATTTGTAACAGGCAAGTAAAAAGATCCAAGAGATGAGAGACCTGATGGCGATGTGCTGGGTGAGAACCAGGCTAGGAGAGAACCTCCAGGAGAAGGAGGAGAAGTCGCCTTTTCTTGAGCATTTATTCTAAACACTTTACATGGAGTGTTTATTTGGTCCCCACAGTTGTAAGGCAGGGTTTTGTTGACCATATAGCAATTGAAGGGGCCAACTAAGAGGTAATAGATAAGCTTTAGCATCAGTCTGAAACAGGGGTGGAAACTGGCAAGCCATTAGGCCAAAAGAGGCCCAGAGTTGTGTTTTGTTTGGCAGTATTCTTTTGGGTGGTGGTGTGGCCCACATGCTGTAATTTTTTAAATTATTATGATTTTTTAAATATTTATTTAGTTTGGTTGCGCCAGGTCTTAGCTGCGACAGGTGGGCTCCTTCATTGTGGCTCCAGGGCTCCTTAGTTGTGGCATGCAAACCGTCAGTTGCAGCATGCACGTGGGATCTAGTTCCCTGACCAGGTATTGAACCGGGCCCCCTGCATTGGGAGCATGGAGTCTTAACCACTGTACCACCAGGGAAGTCCCTATTATTATTATTTTTAAAACACAATATGATTATATTTTAGTACACAACCAAAATACAAAACACCGTAGTAAGTTGACAGCAGTAGAACATGGTATTTCATTTGCATTGCATAACAGACGGTTAACATTCTTAGTTGTAAATGAGTTCTCCACATGCTTTTTTTTTTTTTTTTTTTCTCTTCTCGGTACGCGGGCCTCTCACTGTTGTGGCCTCTCCCGTTGCGGAGCACAGGCTCCGGACGCGCAGGTTCAGCAGCCATGGCTCGTGGGCCCAGCCGCTCCGCGGCATGTGGGATCTTCCCTAACCGGGGCACGATCCCATGTCCCCTGCATCAGCAGGCAGACTCCCAACCACTGCGCCACCAGGGAAGCCCTCCACATGCTTTTAAAAAGGCATTGGGACTAAGCAGGTATTAAGCTTAGTGGCAATACAGGGAACTTTGCTCCTGTTTTATTTGCTACCCTTTTCATGCATTTACAGTAATTGCCCACTGCCTGCATTTGAAATTGTGACTCCTGCCTCTCAGGACCAATTCACCATCAATGAAACAGAGTAACAATGTGTAACCCTTTGGCTTATTAAGATGAGAATTGTATCAAGTAATTTGCTGTATGCCTTTAAGCCATCCATTTGTATGTACTAATAGTATGTACCTTGAGACTTCTTTCCGTGAAGACTAGAGTTTTTTTCCCCATCCTGTGTTGTTAAAAAGATGCATTATCGGGCTTCCCTGGTGGCGCAGTGGTTGAGAGTCCGCCTGCCGATGCAGGGGACATGGGTTCGTGCCCCGGTCTGGGAAGATCCCACATGCCGCGGAGCGGCTGGGCCCGTGAGCCATGGCTGCTGAGCCTGCGCATCGGGAGCCTGTGCTTCACAACGGGAGAGGCCACAGCACTGAGAGGCCCGCGTACCGCAAAAAAAAATAAAATAAAAATTTTTTAAAGATGTATTATGGACAGAGAGGTACCATAAGGAAGTAGAGAGAGAAGAAAAGAATCCTCTAATCTACTAGTTTTCATCAATTGGTTCTTAACCTTTAACTTTTCTTGGGTTAAGGTCCTCTTTCAGAATCTTTTGAAAACTTTGAATTCTCATCTCAAAAAATTTTATACACACCTATCCATAGACCTCAGGTTCAGAATCCCTTTAAAGTTATGATGCTAAGGTGTCATCTGTTTAGGGAGCTTTAGTTACATTTCAGTACATGGACTAAGGACTAGCTTATCCCAAAGCTAAAGTCCCATCTTGAGAGCTTATTTTTTTATTATCATAGTGTGATAAGTTTTTCGCTATTCACTTCTAAAACCTTTCTTTTCTTTGAAAGTAGTTATCGTCTAATGAACAAATTCAGTTTAATGCTCTGTTTAAATTTTACACTGGTTACCTTATACCAAATGTGCTTTAAATTGACCCTCTAAGTTTCAGTGTTCCTTTGAAAGGTAATCATTACTTTTCTTGATTTATTAATGTGGGGGAGGCAGAGCTGAACTGTGACCCTTAGAAGCTTCACCTCTTTTATTGACTTATTTATTTATTGGCTGCGCTGGGTCTTGGTTGTGGCATGCGAGAGCTTTAGTTGCAGCCTGCATGCGGGATCTAGTTCCCCAACCAGGGATCAAACCCGGGCCCCCTGCATTGGGAGTGTGGAGTCTTACCCACTGGACCACCAGGGAAGTCCCAGAAGCTTTACTTCTGCTCCCTGTTTATATGAGAGCTTGCCGATTTGACCAATCTGAATACCAAGTGCCCCAGAACTCTTTGGTGGATCTGCCAATTTGTAGTGCTAATGACCAGTAAGGAGTCCAGTTTCTGGATGCATTTTGAGTAGTTGATCTGTTCTTTGTTTTTGCTCGTTCTTCTTCCTCCTAATAGATAAAATACCTTATTTCTCTTATTCCCTACTGCAGGGAAATTAGCCTACAAAGGGTCAGTTAGTAGATATCTTAGGCTTTGTGGGCTGTATGTGCTCTTTTGTAACCACTCCACTCTGCTGTTGTAGTGTGAAAGCAGCCAGCCAGCTGTCGGGTATGGCTGTGTTCCTATAAAACATTTACTTATAAAAACAGACGGTGGGGGCTTCCCTGGTGGCGCAGTCGTTGAGAGTCCGCCTGCCAATGCAGGGGACGCGGGTTCGTGCCCCGGTCCGGGAAGATCCCACATGCCGCGGAGCGGCTGCGCCTGTGAGCCATGGCCGCTGAGCCTGCGCGTCCGGAGCCTGTGCTCTGCGACGGGAGAGGCCACAGCGGTGAGAGGCCCGCGTACCGCAAAAAAAAAAAAAACAGACGGTGGGACCTCCCTGGTGGCGCAGTGGTTAAGAATCTGCCTGCCAATGCAGGGGACACGGGATCAAGCCCTGGTCCGGGAAGCTCTCACATGCCGCAGAGCAACTCAGCCCTTGCGCCACAACTACTGAGCCTGTGTGCCACAGCTACAGAAGCCCACGCACCTAGAACCTGTGTTCCGCGACAAGAGAAAACACCGCAATGAGAAGCCCCCGCGCTGCAATGAAGAGTAGCTCCCGCTCGCCACAACTAGAGAAAGCCCGTGCACAACAATGAAGACACAATGCAGCCAAAAATAAAATAAATAAATAAAATTTAAAAACAAAAACAGTTGATGGCTGGATTTGGCCCACAGGCCATAGGTTGCCACCCTCCATCTTAGCGCAGTGTTGTACAATAGAATTTCCTTTAACGACGGAAGTGTTCTGTATCTGTGCTGTCCAGTATAGTAGCCACTACTCACATGTAGCTACTGAGTACTTGGAATGTAGTAAGGTGACTGAGGAGCTGGATGTTTACATTTGCTTATTCTAATTAATTTAGCTACAGCATCGGACACTGCAGCCATAGCGCCCTGCATGGTGCCTTGAACAGGGACATGGTGAATGTTTCTTGCAATGAAATTGGCGAATTAAACTTCTCATCTGTTGTTACCAATAGGATAAAATGATGACAGAGAGAACCTTGTTGAAGGAGCGTTACCAGGAGGTCCTGGACAAGCAGAGGCAAGTGGAGAATCAGCTCCAAGTGCAATTAAAGCAACTTCAGCAAAGGAGAGAAGAAGAAATGAAGAATCACCAGGTATTCTGCTTATGTTAAAATTGGCAATAAGTAAAGTATAGTCCCTAATCAGACTTTAATTTTGTTTTCAAATTAATAGAAATAAAAAAGCAGTATTTAACTTTTTAATGGTTATCATAGAATTTTAAGGATAAACAAGAACCTTCGAGGGCATCTCGTCCAAACTCTCACTCCTATTTTGGTTCAGAGAGGAAAGGATTTTTTTTTTTTTTTTTTTTTCGGTACGCGGGCCTCTCACTGCTGCAGCCTCTCCCGTTGCAGAGCACAGGCTCCGGACGCGCAGGCTCAGCGGCCATGGCTCACGGGCCCAGCCGCTCCACAGCATGTGGGATCTTCCCGGACCGGGGCACGAACCCGTGTCCCCTGCATCGGCAGGCGGACTCTCAACCACTGCGCCACCAGGGAAGCCCAGGATTATTTATTTAATATATTTGTTTGACTGCCTACCTGGAAAGTCATTTGATTAGACTCCTGTCTCACACTATATTTAAAAATACAATTCTAAGTAAATTAAAAATATACATATTAAAACTGGAAAAAAATTTTAAATCAGAAGAAAATTTAGAAGAATATTTGTATACCTGAAGTTGCAAGAGGTCATTTTAACCCAGGCAGAAAACCTAGAAGATTTTTTAAAATTAATTATATATAATTAAACTTTTTGGCATGGCAAATGATATAGAAAACAGTCAAAAGATCAATATTAGACTGAGAGAAAATATTTATAGCACATATGACGAAGGGTTTAAGATGACATTCTGAGATTCCTACAAATTCATGGTAAAAGCCAAACAATCTAGAGAAACCAGGAAAAGTGACTGTATTACTTTCCTATTGTAATAGTTTTCTACTGTAATAGTTTCCCATTGCTGCTGTAACAAGTTGTCGTGAATTTAGAGCTTAAAACAACATGTTTATTATCTTACAGTTCTGTAGGTCAGAAGTACAACATGGGTGTCACTGGGCTAAAATCAAGGTATTAGGAGGGCAGCATTCCTTTCTAGGGACTCTAGGGGAGAATACATTTCCCTGCATTTCTGGCTTGTAGAGGCTGTTTGCATTCCTTTACCTGTGGCGCCCGTCTCCATCTTCAGAGTCAGCAACGTTGCATTTCTGTAACTGTTCTTCCCTAATCACATCTTCCTCTGATCACAAGTGGGAAAGTTTCTCTGCTTTTAAAGACCCATTTGTGGTTAGATTGGGCCCACCCCGATAATCCAGGATTGTCTCCCTATCTCTTTTGCTATGGAGGGTAACATAGGTTCCAAGGAGTAGAACATGGACATTTTTGTGGGGAAGAGGTTATTATTTTGCCCATAACAGTCACAAACAGTAATTCACAGAATAGGAAAAGCAAATGGGTAACAAATGTATGAAAATAAACTCAGCCTTACTAGTGTCGATCCATTTGTATAGCAAATATTTTTTGAGTTCCTGATGTATGCTCTGAAGATTTAGTGGTGAACGAAACATAGTCTCTGCCTTCATTGAATGCTTATTCTAGTTGGAGGAGACAGACGATAAAAACAGTAAAAGAACAGGAGGTAGTGAAATGCTCATTAAAATTACTAGATACCATTCCTCCCTCTTTCCCAAGAGATTGGGAAAAATGAAATAAGTTGTCAAAGGTAAGGAAAAATGAACTCTTTTTAGACATTGGTAGGAGTGTGAATTGGTATGACCATTTTAGAAAAGATATTAGGGCGACTTCCCTGGTGGTCCAGTGGTTAAGACTCCAAGCTTCCAATGCAGGGGGCACAGGTTCAATTCCTGGTTGGGGAACCAAGAATCCCGCATGACGTGCAGCGTGCCAAAAAGTTAAGTAAATAAATAAACAAGTAAATAAGTATATAAATAAAGTCTGAAGAAAAAAGATATTAGGAATTGTCACTTAAAATTTTAAAATGTATATATACCTCGATTTAGCAGTCTCATTGTTAGGAGTCTATTCTACAGAAATAAAAGCTTTTGTATGAAAATATAGGCATACAGGATGTTTATTGTAGTATTATTTGTAGTTACAAGAAAACTGAAGTCAGCCTTAACAGGATGGACTCTTAACAGAGACTGGTTGACTAAATTCGTTATATACATGTCATGTCGTGTTATACAGCTATTTTTTAATTTGATCTATATTTATCGATAGTATGCTCATGTCAGGTGAACAAAAGCAAGATGCAGAATAGTGTATATAAAATTACCTCATTATAAAGAAAACAAAAAAGCAAATACGTACGTAAGTACACATGTATTTGTGTAAGAATGGAGAAAGATGTGAAAGCATAGAACAAAACGCTTAACACATTGATTACTTTATGGGTGGAATTGGTGTGCATTAGGGGTGACTTAACTTTATTACTTTTTGTTCGACTTCTTATTATAAATATATATGTATATAGTTAAATAATTTAAAAAGAACAAAGGTAACCCCTACGCATAATAAAGTAGAGCCGTAACAAAACAAAACAAGACCATATTTGTTGGAAGTAGCAAACTCCCACCCTGTGCAAGAATGCCTTTCTCAGCAGTCTTGACAGGTGTTCATTCAGCCTTTATATGAGCACCAGTAATGGAGAGCTTATTGCTTCACAAGGCAGTAAATTCCGTTTTTGAACAGTTGTGATTGTTAGAAATTCTTTTCTCCTGTTGAATTGAAATCTGCTTTATTATAACTTACTCCCTTTTGGGACTTTTTTGACTGCTTTTGGGACTACTCATCACCAGATTCCTTCAATTCAATTTGAAATCACTAAAGTCAATATGTTAATTTGAGATAGTTGAAAGTAACCTTCAGACCAAAAGAACTAATTCATTTCCTTCTTTATTTGTGTGTGACTATAATTGTGCGGGACTTAGGAGATATTAAAGGCTATCCAGGATGTAACAATAAAGCGAGAAGAAACAAAGAAGAAGATAGAGAAAGAAAAGAAGGAGTTTTTGCAGAAGGAGCAGGATCTGAAAGCTGAAATTGAGAAGCTTTGTGAGAAGGGCAGAAGGTAAATGATGCTGTTAAGAATAAAAACCCTGGGTTTATGTGTGTGTGTTTGTACATAACAGGCCGGTTCTATTTGTGTTTCTACTTTCTTTTCTTTCAGTCTAATTTTTATTTGAAAAACAAGTGCACAAATTAAAATCCTTGAGTGATTTTAGCTTTTTCAGCACCCTATGTTAAATTTAATAAAAAGTGTTTCAGGGATTCATCAGTACATTGAAATAACAGCAGCTCATTGTTTGGTCCCAAGTCTGATCAGGATTTTGATATATATCTAACACCTATTTCACTTGCCTTATCTGATGTTTGACAGTTTAGGCTATGAGGCTACTTTGATTATGTTAAATTCAGCACCAAAACCAAATTTCAAACTAACATTGCAAGCTGTTTGCAAAGCTGTTTAATGGATCTGTGTCCTTTTCAGGGTACTGCAGCAAGGCTAAGGCGGGCATAGAATTTGGTCATAGTTTCAATTTTCTAAGTTTCTTAATGTGACCTGTTTGGAAGTCAAAATAGTTGTGAATATTGTGATTTTATTTAAATTCTACTAAAATGCATTTTTATTTATCAAGAAAATCTTGGCTTGCTAATGTGTCCGAGAGCTAAGTGAAAAGTAGCGGGATACTTGGAAAATGATTCAGCAAATGAGGAAAGATGATAAATAAGACAGGACATTTTGGAATAATTGGGAAATTTTGAATATGGATTACGTATTAGGTAATATTGTATCAATGGTAAATATTTTGTGTGTGATTATGTAGAAGGTTCTTTTTCTTAAGAGATACTTGCTGAAGTTTTAGGGGTTGTCGTGATGTCTATAACTTTCAGGTGGTTCAGAGGGAGAAGTAAAGTAAATGTGGCAAAAAGCGTTAACAGCTGGTGAATCCAGATGAAGGGCATGTGTTCACTGGACTATTCTGTTAACTTTTCTGTTGGTTTGAAATTTTCAAAGAAAAAGTTGCAGGAGTGGGGGTAGATATAGGGAGAAATTAGCCAGGCAACGAATAGGGAAGAAGACATTGCAGGCAGGGGACCTATAGACGAGAGAGATTAGCAACTGAGACCTGAGGTAGAGAGGAATGAGGCTAGTGGAGGAGGCAGAAGCCCGATCACAAAGGCTCAGATCCCGTGTAAGGAGTTTGAGATTTTCCCTGATAGTGAGAGACTAGAGAGTTTTAAGGAGGGGTGGGGATCAGAGGATGAGATTTGCACTTTATTTATTTATTTTTAATTAAAAAATTTTTAATTGAAGTATGGTTGATTTATAATATATTAGTTTCAGATGTACAACGTAGTGATTTAAAACCTTTATGGATTATATTTAAAGTTATTATAAAATATTGGCTGTATTCCCTGTGCTGTATACTATATCCTTACAGCTTATTTATTTTATACACAGTAGTTTGTACTTCTTAGTCCCCTACCCCTATCTTGCCCCTCCTCCCCATCTCCCCACTGGCAACCACCTGTTTGTTCTCTGTATCTGTGAGTCTGTTTCTGTTTTGTTACATTCATTCATTCTTTTCACTTTTTAGATTCCACATGTAAGTGATGACATACAGTATTGTGTTTTTCTATCTGATTTATTTCACTTAGCATAATGCCCTCCAGGTCCATCCATGTTATTGCAAATGGCAAAATTCCATTCTTTTTTATGGCTGAGTAGTATTCCATTGTGTGTGTGTGTGTGTGTGTGTGTGTGTGTGTATGTATGTATGTATGTATTACCACATCTGTTTTATCCATTCATCTGTTGTTGGACACTTAGGTTGCTTCCCTATCTTGGCAACTGTAAATAGAGATTTTCAGTTTAGATAGATGATGATGCCAGTTGGAGAATAGACTGGAGTAGTGTAGAGGACCAGTTAGGAGACTTATCTGTCAGAGCCTGCGTTACAATAATGGTGGCCAAAACTGAAGTGCTGCAGTGGGGAGGAGAGATGTGAATCCATTTGTAAGGTGTTAGGGGTAGCACTAATAGGTGGAGAGGGAAGAGTTATAGAAACGCCCATATTTCTGGCTTGGAAAATTGGGGAAATAATGGGGTTTTCTAATAAGATGTCTTATTCAGTTACCCACTTTACAAGTTTCAAGTTAAATTCTCCCTCCTTTGTAAAATCTTCCTTATCCGGTTCTTCCTGAACTAATCTCTCCCTCCTCAGAACATCTATACAGCTCTCTGCTGATTTTGCTTATTTTTTTATTTTTATTTTTTTTAATTTTTTTTGTTGTACGCGGGCCTCTCACTGTTGTGGCCTCTCCCGTTGCGGAGCACAGGCTCCGGACGGGCAGGCTCAGCGGCCATGGCTCACGGGCCCAGCCGCTTCGTGGCATGTGGGGTCTTCCCGGACTGGGGCACGAACCCGTGTGCCCTGCATCGGCAGGCGGACTCTCAACCACTGCGCCACCAGGGAAGCCCCCTGATTTTGCTTATTTTTGTATTATACTGTACTCTACATTTTTTTCTACCTGTGTATGTCTTGGCTGGCCATTGATATTGTAAGCCTCTTGAGGATAAAGACTGGACTCTCCCTCTTCATATGTATTTAAAAATTTTTTTTTTACTCTTTTGTGTTCTTTTACACTTAGCTCAGTGCTATATACTGATAATTATTGGACAAATATTTGTTGAATTACTGGATAGGAAATTAAATTTCACCTTGATATTATAGATGAATTTACGTAATAGAAATTTGCTAAGTGCTTTGTACTGTTTGAAGGTAATTACTGTGTTTTTTATTGTAATTATAATTTTTAAAGAAGACAGGATGAACTGACCAAAAAAAAAAGACCAAATATTCAGTTTAGTCACGTATTTGATTTTTTTTCTCCTTGACACTTGGCTGCTTTATAATGGACATTGTCTTGCCTTTGTGGGGACACTTTCTAGTTTCCAGCTTGCATCCTTCAAGATTATTGCTGGTATTAGAAAGGTGAGGCTTCCAAGCTAGTTCTCTTCTACGGCCGAACTTCTTTTTAAGCTCCCTGCCTTTAATAGTGACTCATCGAGAATAATAGCAAATAAGGCTCTTCTTGAATAAAGATGGTGAGCTTGCGCCTTAAGAGACATCATCGGTTGATTCACAAAGGTAGGTTGGGACCAGTAGCCGAAAAATTGCAATATCAAGCAAAGGTCTTCTTTTTTTTTTTTAAATATTTATTTATTTATTTGGCTGCACCAGGTCTTAGTTGCGGCATGTGGGATCCTCCCGGACTGGGGCACGAACCCGTGTCCCCTGCATTGGCAGGCAGACTCTCAACCACTGCGCCACCAGGGAAGCCCGGGTCTTCTTTTTTAAAATGCTCTGAGCTTGCCTGATGAACTCGTGATAGAGTGATAGGTAAATAGCAGATCAAGGGAGTTAATGTTGGAAGCATTACTTTGGATGTGGTATAAGAGTTTATGCTATATTGAAATTGACAGGGTACAAGAGGATTCTTTTTGGAAATTTCTCACCAAATGCTAGTTTATTTAACTGGTATGCTTTGAAGTCCTAATAGCTTGTCTGGCAATCAGTAAATCTAGTGAGTATTTCTTAGGTGCAAAGCAGTGAGCCAGACTGTTCAGCATCCTGTATTTTGACCACAGCCTTCAGTCCTTCCAGCTTTCTGTCTCATTCCCAGTAAATGTACACTTTGACATCAAGTCCTCTTTCTTGTTTTTTGACTTCATTCCAGTTTCTCCCAGTCCTCCAGCTCCCTGGAAGCATTTCTTTGCCTAGCCAGACTGGACTCATGGTCCATTACTTGAATTTCTCCCTTACCATTACCATCAATTCTATGGAGGCTTGTTCCTTTCCTTTCATTTTTCCATAGTACTCCAGTCCTGGGCCAAGTCAACCCCCACACCTACCCCCCCACCCTGCCCCCTCCTACATCTATCTCTATTCTTCTTATACTTGGGCTGCTGAGGGCTGCTCCAGGAGATCACACTGTGTGTCTTGAGGCCAGAATAAATTTGACAGAATAAATTTGACTTTCAAAAACACCCGGACCCTCAGGACTCCCTCTTCCTCTGAGGGCTGTCCCTAACTATTACCTCTCTTTCTAAACTTTCTGTCTCCACCACTTCTCTCCTTAGTCTTAGCAAGTGATCTTGCCTTTTATTTGACTGAAAAAATAGGGGCCATCGAGTAAACCTTCCTTCAGTTTCCTATCAGCAGATACATCCATCTTTTCTTCCTGTCCTTGTATCTGAGTCTAAACTACCTGTGTGTGAATCCTGTTCCCTCTTGCTTTTCCCACTTCTCCGTAAGTGACACCACACTCTCCTCCAGTGACTAAGCCGAATAACCAAGTCATTCTGAATTCTTCTCTTAACCCCTTTCTGCTTTACCAAGTCCTGTAGATTCTTAATATTAATTGTCCCTTTCTCTCCATTCACTCTGCCACTCTTAGTTCAGGTTTCTGTCAGTTCTCCTAGATTCTGAGGCAGGCTACTAAACGTTCTTTGCCTCCAGTCTCCTCCATTTTAATTGGTCTAGTACAAATCTGTCGAAGAAATCTGTCAAAGAATACGGATCTGATGATGTCATTTCCCTGCTTAAAGTCCTTCATAGTTCCTAGGGTAAAGTTTAAACTCTTTAGTTTACTATAAGAGGCCCTCAATTATCTAGTCCCTGTTTATGTCCCTAGCTGCATCTTTTACCATTCCCCCAGACCACCATGCTAGTTTATACCTAACTACTACATGTTGTATCCTGAACACACTTAAAACTCAGCCTGTATCAACTGCTCTAGAAAGCTTTCCCAGATACTCCCCTTATCCTCCCCTTCACACACCCTGACCATTTAATTTAGATGACCCTCCTCCGTATTCACCTAGCACGGTGTGTATGCTTCTGTCATAACACTGACCTCTGATGGTCTTTTGTGTTTACTGGAATGTTTCCCACATTATGTAGTCAGCTTCTTGAGGGCAGGTATTTCGATTATCTATCGCTGTCAAAAAAACACTGTAGAACTTAGTGTCTTAAAACAGCAACAATATTTTATTATTTCTCT